CTCCTTCAGGTACTGAACCACCTAAACAAACCTATTGAATCTTTCGGTATACGAGGACCAAAAATCCCATAGAAGGATCAGATGCTACTGAACTCAACTGGCTAATTTTCTACAGATTTACCTATTTACCTGTAAACCCATACTTTCGTTTTTGTATTATATGCTTCTTAACTTTTCTTTACACGAAAATAAGTCGAAGATTCCTTGAAGTTGTTTATTTCTTCCATAAATTGTCCAGGGCAGGTGGTCTAGTTGGATGGCCAGGTCCTTCCATCTTGTGGCTCCACCATTGCCAAGGCCTTGCTGTCATCTGCATCAAACCTGAAGAAGAGGACAGGGGGCGGGCCCCATGGCCAAGTGGTTAAGTTCACATGTTCTGCTTCGGTGGCCCAGGGTTTCACTAGTTCACATCCTGGGTGCAGACCTAACACCGCTCATCAAGCCATGCTGAGGTGACGTCCCACAGAGCAGAACTAGGAGGGCCTACAACTAGAATATACAAGTATCTATTGGGGGACTTTGGGGAGAAGAAGAAGAAAATAAAAAGATTGGCAACAGGTGTTAGTTCAGCGCCAATCTTAAAAAGCCCTGAAGAAGAGGACAGAGAGCAAGGAGGAGGTATATCTGCTCAAAGTGAAGTGGCATACCTCACTTCTCTCACATTCTGTCAGCAAGAGCTAGTCACATGGCCACCCCAAGATGCAAGGGAGGCTGGGCAGCTGCTTCCCAGTTACCACTGTATCACAATCAATGGGAAGACTGGGTGGGGTTTGGTGGACAACTGCTCTCTTGTCATGTAGGGCGTTTGGAAGTTAAGTACCACAACCTCATGGTAGAGAATACATTTAACTCAATTAACTCAGACTGGGGGGGCAGACCAAGCAAGGCTTTGGGGAGCGCGTGGCATTTGAATTGTGTCTTAAGAGTGTAAGTTAACCAGGTGAAGAAGAAGAAAGATTTTAGGCACAGAAAACATGCAAAAGATAAGGAAGTATGAAAGAATATGGCCTATTAGGGAGACAGAAGTAGTGCAGTAGAAGTGGATTGTATTGTGGAGCCATGGTAAGATGAGCCAACAGATGTAGTGAGAGAGCCTTTAGGTTCAAAGGGAAAATTATGTATTCCAGAGATTTCTAGGATATAGAATCCACAAGGTTTGGAATGAGATGTGACCTAGACGACGAGAGAGAGCCAGGTCAGTGAGGGGCCACCGTCACTGAGGCTACCACATGCCAGGCAGAGGGAACAGCAAGTGCAAGGCCTCAGATGGGAATGGGGTTTGTGTGTTTGAGGAAAGCGAAGTCCTATTGGCTGGAGTGCACGCCGGAGGAGATGAGGTCTGAGAGGTAGTGAGAGGCCCCCTCACCCAGGGTCTTGTAAACCATGGGAAATTTTTTGGATTTTGTTCTAAATCCAATGGAAAATTATTGGAAGATTTTAAAGTGGAGTGACATCATTCTGCAATAAGACTAAACTATGGACACGAATGTATGTGTTCAATCACAACAAATATATTCTGACCCCACTCCCCCAAATCCAACATTTTCTAAGTGGTACATGTCAATGTAGCGCACTAGTATGGAACTCACTATTTTAGAGTGATGTTGACATGTTTGTTTGAATTAGTGTTCTCAACTCAACTGTCTCACGATGAGAACAACAAGTTCACATGCAACAGGAATAGAGAAAGACGACAGGTATGGGGAGAGGAGGGACTGAGAGAAGGCCAAATGTTGCTAATCTTGTTTTTTAAATGAAACATTTTGGGTATGGTTTTGCAAAAAACCAAGCCAAGATTTAGTGTTGGGGAAGGTCCTCCAAAAGAAAGTTTCTGTCTCATGTAAGATAACGGCACCATTTCCCCCCACAGGCTGTGCCCCGATCCTCTCGGAGTCTGTGAAAGGGGCTGGCCCAACAACTGCGTGCAGAGGGTTCTGGAGAGAGTTCAAGAGAATTGTAAATTAGAAAACGCCTGCTTCTAAATAAGAATCTGGGACATGGTAATCTGAAAATGCACTTTTCAAGTGCCTTCATTAGACTCAAAGAATGGCTTTAGGAAAGGAGGAAGTCTTCGAGTTAAAGAACAAACTCTGGCACAGGATCCTATAGGATATGATATGAGAGGATTCCCTATTCAAAATGGTTCTCTGCAACCCCTCATTAACCCCAGGAACCTTCCAAAGTGCTTGGTACAGAAATGTCATTCTGTTGGCTGAAGTGAGATTTTTATCTCTTAGAGTACCATGGAAATGCCCTTACCTGATATGGCAGATGCATAGTAAGTGCATAACAGACAGGGATGCCATCTTAGCAGAGCCTCTCCTGAAGCTCCTACCTCAGCATGCGGAAGATGCTCCCGCTCCTCACCCATGTGAGGATATTGCAGCACTTCAAAGGACAACTCAGGTCTCCTCCACTTTCCCTTCCTGAGTGCCAGCAGACAACCTTGCTTCATAATTAAAAACAATCAAGGCTATGGGGTGAATTTCTTGATTTTCTTATCCTCTTATCTACACGTTTATCTCCCTCTGTCTGTTTTCTGGAAATTAGTTCCCTCCAGTCACTAAGGCTGATTCAAGGCTCCTTCCACAACTATACTCTTGGTTCCATTTCCTCTTGTATTAACTCCTTAACTGTTTACCTCCTTCCAAAATATTTTATTGAGTTCCTACTAGGTGCATGCTGGGATGCTGGGGATATAGTTGTGATAAGATAGTCAGGTGGAGCTTCCATTCTAGTGAGAAAAATCTTTTTTATTGGACTTTCAATCTTTCTCTCTCAAGAGGCTCCATCTCTATAATCTAAAACTGCATCCAATTCTCTCCCTATTAAAAAAATACAAAAAGATTTGAAAGTCTCTTGACTTTGTGCTCTCTTCTTGATACTTACCTATCACTTTCCTTCCCTTGTCAATATGAGAAACGTCATATTACAGTGTTTCTAAAACCTGAATTCACATCAACTATTTTTAAAGAACCTTGATTGGTATCTTACACTCTATACAAAAATAAACTCAAAATGCAATATAGACCTAACTGTAAAACTTAAAACTATAAAAATTAAACTTTATTACAAAACATAGAAGAGGGGCCAGCCCAATGGCCTAGTGGTTGAGTTCAACGGGCTCCACTTTGGCAACCCAGGTTTGGTTGCTGGGCATGGACCTACACCACTCATTGGCAGCCATGCTGTCGACCCACACACAAAATAGAGGAAGATTGACACAGATGTTAGCTCAGGGCTAATCTTCCTCAGCAAAAAAACAAAACCAAACAAAAAAAATAGAAGAAAATCTTTATGACTTTGAGAGAGGCAAAGATTTGTTAGAACTATTACCAAAACATAAGCCGTAAAAGAAAAAAAATTGACAAATTGGGCTTCATCAAAATTAGGAACTTCTGCTCTTCAAAAGACACTGATAGGAGAATGAAAAGATGAGACATACATTGGAAAAAAAAATTTGCAAATCACTTATAAAGAATTTGTATCCAGAATATGCAAACGTCTGAAAACTCAACAACAAGAAAATAAACAACTGAATTAAAAAATATGCAAAAGATCTGAACAGACATTTCACCAAAGTCGATATATAGACAAGCACATAAAAAGACGCCAACGGCATTAGTAATTAGGAAAATGCAAATTAAAACCACAAGGAGTTATGATTACATACCCACTAGAATTGCTAAAAATTGCTAAAATTAGACTAAACCAAGTATTGGTGAGGATGAGGAGGAACTGGAATGCTCATACACTGCTGGCGAGAATATAAAATAGCACAACTACTTTGGAAAATAGTTTACCAGTTTCTCAAAAAGTTAACCCTATACCTATCAGATGACTCAGCCATTTCACTACTAGTTATTTACCCAAGTGAAAAATAAGCAAATGCTCATACAAAGACTTGTACACAAAAGTTTAGAGCAGCTTTATTTGCAGTGGTCCAAAACTGGAAACAGCCCATGTCCCTCAGCAGATGCATGGATAAACAAATTGCGTTACAGCCACACAATGGACTACTCAGCAATAAAAAAGGGATGAACTGTTGATACAACAACATACCTGAGTCTCAGAATTATTATGCTTGGTGTAGGCCAGACAAAAAAGGTTACATACTGCATGATCCCATTTATATAAAATTCTAGAAAATGTGAAGTAATCTATAGTGACAGCAGATCGGTAATTGCTTAGGGATAGGGGACTAGGAAAGCATGGCTGGTGGGATTACAAAGTGGCATGAGGAAACATTTTGGAAAGATGGATATATTCATTATTTTTATTGTGATGATGGTTTCATGAATATGCATGTCAAAACTTATCAAATCCTACCCTTAAATATGTGCAGTGTGTCACATGTCAATTATACCTCAACAAAGATATTTGTTTTCTAAAAGGCTACATAATGTTCAATTCCATTAATATGACATTCCTGCAAAGGCACAACTATAGAGACAGAAAACATATCAGTGGTTTCTAGGAGCTAATTAGAGGTGATAGGAGGGGTTAACCACAAAGTGGCATGAGGACATTTTAGGGATGATAGAATTCTTCTATATTTTAAAGTAGTGATGGCTACATAACTATATATGTTTGCCAAAACTCACAGGACTGTACACTAAAGAGGGTAAATTTTACTGCATATAAATTAGCCTTTAAGTTTAAAAATAGAAAACAATTCTATGAACACGTGTTGTTTTTATTAAAATTCCACGTAATAGTACACAAATAGAATCAAGTCTTTTTTTTATTTATTATGTTTATTACTTATACATTTAAACCAAAATACATATACAAATCAAATTTTAAAAACTACAAATTTGGGGCCGGCCCGGTGGTGGAGTGGTTAAGTTCACAGGTTCCGCTCCAGTGGGCCGGGGTTAGCCAGTTTGGATTCTGGGTGCAGACCTACACACCACTTGTCAAGCCATGCTGTGGCAGGCATCCCACAAGTAGACGAAGATGGGTACGGATGTTAGCTCAGGGCCAGTCTTCCTCAGCAAAAAAGAGGAGGGTTGGTGGTAGACGTTAGCTCAAGGCTACTCTTCCTCAAAAAAACCCAAAAAATTACAAATTCGATACCATTCAAATAAGCAACATTAATTCAACAAGATGGACAATGTTATTTTGCTGAAAACAAAATATTTGTGGGTATAGAATCTTTCTCTGAGACCACTCACCTTGCCACTCCCTAGACCTAGCACAGAACAGACATTCTCAAGTCCTGTCTGCCATCCTGTCTGGTCTCTTCCCTTCTTCTAACTCCTTCCCTTCTAGATCCTCACAGGCACTCCACCCACCAGGGGTGCAGCTCCAATTGTGTCTCCGTCTCAGGCACTAGTTGCCAGTCATTTCTGCTCCCCACAGGTCTCCTGTTAGATAAGGGAAAATAGGAGCTTCTGATCCTAAAACTGGAAAAGGAGGAAGAGAAAGGAAGCCACCACATGGGTCTGACCTGAGAACAGAAAACCTGAAAAAGACATTGGGAAGGTTACACACGTGCTGACACAAATCATTTTCCTTATGCTGAGAATGTCTGTCTCTGTCACAGTACAGAAGGACCTATTCTATCACCTCAGCCGAGAAGGTGCCAGGCTTGACAGGCAAGGAGGGAGAAGGGTCCCAGTCTGCCGAGCCTGTCGCCCCCTTCTAGACTCTGAATCACTCGAAGACAGAGGACTTGAAGTACAGTCTCTTATTAATCTTTGTATCCTCAGTGCCTTGCAGTACCTGGCATGTGTCAGCTAATTAGTGAATGAACAAACGACTAAACGAACCAAGAGCAATCAAATTCATTGAATTGTGATGAGTTGAATAAAAATTCAATGATTAAATGGTGCAACCCAAATACAACAATTTTCACCGTAATTAATTTATCAGTAGATGCGACGGGCATCTGGTTCATGCACCAACCCTCAATGACACCCGACTGCTGTTTGTCATTCCTAGATGTCCTATTATCTGGAAGAGGCTTTGGGGACTGACCTTCACTCAGGTTTCTGTCCAGCTTATCTTCAGAAGCCCACATGTTTTCACAACAGAAAGTACAGACTCTGTCATCTTCGGCAAGTTGGGTAATTTCTCTGAGACTCAATTTCTTCAGTAATAAAATGAGGATAATAATAGCAAAAACTTAATAGAGTTGATGTGAGGATTAAATGAGTCAACACGTGTAAAAGGGCTTGGCACAGTGCGTGCCACAAAAGAATAGTAAAGGTTGGCTATTACCCTCCACCTCCTTGTCGTCCTCCTCTTACTCCTACTGTCACCACCACTGCAGCCTTTGCTGGTATTTTTGCTTTCTGTTTCCCATTAAGATGCCAGTATAGCCTTGCTTAATTGGAGGAAGTATTTATTCTGAACTCTGACCTTTCTCTTCCTTGAACTCACTTAGGAGAATACAAGGAATTGCCATCTGGCATAATTTCACCTTATTTAAAGTTAAGTAGAATAAATTTGAATGACTTATCAGCTCCTGGGAACACAGCGTTTATCCTTTAGAGAATCAAACAACCACCACCTTATTCTCGGGAGGAAAAATGGTACTAAATTAGAATATATTTTTGGTCATACAGATTCTACAAAAATTTGTTCTTGAATCTCTAGTCATCTAGGTAAAAAGAGGATTTTCCAAAAGGGAGGGGAATAGGCGGTGGTGCTGTGAAGAGAAAAATGACCTTGCCCTTGGGCTCTGTCTCTGCAGGGGAGGTGGTGCAGGCTGGCGGTGGCCGCCAGGTTTCAGCTGGATTCAGTCCTGAATCTTCTCTCCATCCTTTACCTCTTGTATGATTTGGAGCAGATTATTCTCTTAGCCTCCTCTTTCAGCTTCGCTTTTCTTTATAAATGGGACCAAGATCTACTTCATATGAAGATTAAATGAGGTCATACAAGTGTGGTGGGAAGAAAATATGATTTTAAAATCTAACTTCAGATGCTTCCACATGAAAGGGCCTCAACAGAGGAAAATTTATCCTTTTTTCTAGGGAAGGATGTTGAATGGACCATCTACTTCTGAGAGGCGAAGCCCCAGACCCATCTGGATGGGAGAGGCCGAGATTGAGTGGGCAGTAAAGGTAACCTGCTCTGAGTAACAAGACTTCTAAATTTTCTCCTTGAAGCTCAAGAAAAGGAGTTTGGACCCTGAGCTAGAGGAAAAAAGAGAGGAGGGAACAAGCCCAGAGTGCTCTTTAGCAATGGGTATATTGGATAATGAAGTGAGGGTTGCTTTTTCTGTGGTGCTCCGGTGTTCTGTTACCCTTTCCCATCCTCAGCGAAGCTTTCTAGCTTCCTTAGACTTCAGTTAGCAGTGCCTTAGCCTTAGGGGTCAAGAGAAGGTCATGTTCAAAGCGTGCTTGGGCAGTCCACAGGACGGCAATAGGGGATCAAGCAGTGAGTGTAGAGCAGGGAGCAAAAACAAGTGGTGAGAGTACCCACCAGGAAAATGTAACTTCCTCTCTGGTGCACCTCAGAAATCTTAGGGAGGGAGCTGGATTCTCCCTATTCGTGTATTTGCATTTTATTGTCTTTATATTCCTTTGGGCCCAGAAAGCTAGAGGGCTTGAGGACAAGTGAAACATACTTTCCATTAAGCGCTTTCTCCTGCCACCACCTTAGAACAAGCTTCCAACGTCTCTAATGTGGACTACTGCATTGCTCTTAACCAGTTTCTCTACGTCCTCGACTGTCCCTTCCAATCCATTCTTTACACAACTGCCAGAAGAGCCAAAATGGATCAAATCACCACCCTTCTTAAATCTTTTCTTTGGCTTCCCATTTTACCTTGAATAAAAGCTCAACTCCTTCTCTTGACCTAACAAGCCTGCGTGATCTGCCCCTGCTTCCGTGAGCAGCCTCATGTGGTCCTCAATGTTCCCCTCCCTGACGGTGCTCCAGAACCCTCAGGGTCTGTACACACCCTTCTCTCTTGTGCAGAATTCCACCTCCTGTTCTTCAAGTGTTTGGCTCACTCCACTTTCAGGTCCCAAGACCAATGTCACCTTCTCAGTATGACCTTCCCTGGCCAGTCTAGATAAACAGATCTCACCATCTGATCTGGTTACTATCTTTTGCAACACCCTGGATGTTTCTTCATCACATGTATCCAGCTTTGTGATTATTCGTCTTTTTCCTTTCTTATTTACTATCTGTCTCCATGAGGGCAAAGGCTTTGATTATTTCACAAGCCCCACCACGCATCTAGCACCTGCTTTTACGCCTGAGCCCTAGCAGGCACTCAATAAATATTTGAAGGATGAATGAATGAACATGTGTCCAGAGTAACGCTGTCCAATTGAAATATACTGTGAGCCACATGTGTAATTTTAAATTGTCTGGTAGCCATATTAGAGCATGTAAAAAGAAACAGTAAAATTAATTTTAATAATGTGTTTATTTACCCAGTATATCCCAAGTCTTATCATTGCAACATCTAATCAATATAAAAATTATTGAGGTATTTTACATTTTTTGTCCTAGGTCTTCAAAATCCATTATGTATTTTACACTTGCAGTACATCTGAATTTGAACTAGCCATACTTCAAGAGCTCAATACCCACATGTGGCTAGTGGCTTGTGTTCTGGACAATGCAGGTCTGGAGCACACTAGTGCTCCATATACGGGAGCTGTTAGACAATAAAAATAATGCAAAGTGTCGGAGGAAGAAAGGCTTATTTTGAGAGCTGTGGGGAGGTGCCGTATTGGTCAAGTCCACGGGGTGAGTCTTCATTCACCTGCTAACATCTAGAATGGCCAAGAGACCTTGAGTGCCCTGGATAAATGAGTAGGGCCACTGGACCAGGATAAAGGTGGACATCAATGTGAAAGTCCTTGCCTTCCAGACAGCTGCAGAGAGAGTGGACAGCAGAGGACAGCAAAAGAGCAACAGGCTTTTCACGTGGATGGGAAGAGACAGTGGGGAGGAGACAGTGGGCAGCAGCCTTTGCTGGGAAGGCCTCTGCCACAGAGTATCTCAAAATGGAATCCATCCAGACGCCATCAGAGATGTTACAGAAATGGCCTGTTCCTGGAGTATGTTGGTGGCAGAGTATGTAATGTGGATTCTTTTTTCCTTTCTATAGAACTTCTTTCAGCTAATTTGTCACCAGCATGCTTCCTGTTGGGAAGCTGGAACCAGCCAGCTAGGCTGCGTAGTGAAAAGAGTTTGACCCAGGTTTCTGGGCAAAATTGTCTTCCAAAAATGACTTTTACGTGTGAGCCACTCTCTGGATAATATTCCCCATTGTATCCATGGCACAGTACTTGGGAGAAAAATCCATTATGTATATTTAAAACTCAGTTTTAATACAATGAGGAAAAAACATATGTAGGACAAAGAGAAAGACCACTAACTCTGGTATCCAAAGTAAGAGACGTCTCCCACCCACATCTGACTAATGATTACATTTAATTGCTCAATGCCGTTGTCTCTTGTCACTGTGAGTTCCTGAATCGGAGGGACAAAAGGGCAATTAGTGCCAAGTCACTGAGCCCATCTCTTTGCTCTTTAGGAACAATCTGGGTGGTGGATTCTGAACCATTTTGCAAAGAGTTCCCAAAGATGCCTGTGGGGCTCTGTAAGCAGGGGCAAGTTCAGCATATTTAAGGGAGAGTTCTGCAGTGTCCATCTGACAACCCAGCCTACAGCTCAGAGGGAACGATTTTAACATTTTGACTTCTCCAGACGATGAAGACCCACCCCCCAGGTTTCAAAGAATATCTGTCAGTAATATCTTATTGAAGATCCATGACTTACACAAAATGTCCTGTAATTTTTCTGAGAGATTTCCAACACAGAGTGAGGAAGGTAAGGGGGTTACAGGGCTCATTCCCCAGCACTAAGAAGGCTGCTAATTTGATAAAGTATCAGCTGCTGTTTGACAACGAACAGAAACACACCATGAAAACACAACTGTTCCTTTCAGACTGTATTAATAGAAAAATCTAGTAAACAAGAAAGATTAGTACAAGAATATTCTACCAAGTAGATCCAATTTCTCCAGGGAAATGTTAATCCCTACGGCTACAAGCTTTCACATTTAAAAAAAAATGAGTCATCATTGTATCACTGATTATTTTAAGAGATTTTATAAAGGTTAATGGGTGTTAGAATCAAATGAGTTTTCTTTTCTATTTCTTTTTTCCCCTCCAAATATTTGCAATGAACATTACAAATATATCCTTAATGATCAAAACATTAAAATGTATTTAAAGCTTCTTATGGGCCCCTTGCCCGTTTCATTCCTCTTTGCTCCCTAAACTTAAACTATATTATTCAGTCTCAGCTCCTTGCATGCTTTCTACTTGCTATATAGGTGTGTATCCATAGATGAAATACACTATTTCCTTTGCACATTTTAAAGTTTAAATAAAAGGTAACTACTGCTAATAGTTTGTGTCTTCTTGCAGAAATTTTTATGAATATAAAAACATATATTTTATATAAATAAGCTCATACTATATAGACATTTCTACACCTTGTGTTTTTGACGTAACATATTTTAGATGTCTTTTTGTATTCACCCCTAAAGACCTATCTCATTCGGTTTAACAGCTGGACGTATTCCATGTTAGATATACCCTAACTTCTTACCCGGATTTCTTATCGATGGGCATTTGAGTTGTTTACTTTCCCCTCTTGCAAACATTCCTCTATTACTAATATTGCTGAAGATATTTCTGTGCACTCATAAAAGTATATGTATGAACTAAATTTCAAAGCTTGTATGCATTTCAAATTTTGATAGACATAGCTAAATTGCTCTTCAAAAAGTATGAGAATGTCTATTTCCCCATATTCTGGATATTATCAAGTGATTTAACATTAGTCAAGCATTGGTGAAAAACAGCATTTTATTGTTTGAATTTGCATTTCTTTATGTATGAGATACAAACTCTTCATTTATCTGTTGATTATTTTTTCCTTTGAACTGCCTATTCATAGCCTTTTCTTATTTATATTAATTGGATTTTTTTCAAATTGCTGTATATATATGCTTTTGTGTATTAGGGAAATTATCCTCATTCTTCTATGTATTGCAAATTTTTTTTACCAGTTTATTATTATTTTTTACTTTGTTTATGGTATTGTTTAAGTTACAAGACCCTGCTGAATTTGATTCTTTCTTACTTCTCTTTCTTGCTCTAGTCTGTGTCCTTACCGCTCTAAGATTTCCTATTGAACAGTGACAGAACCAAAGCAGGGCATTGCTCATAAACCTGCCTCTCAGAATTGAGGGATCCCAGCCCTTGGGACGGTTCCAGCAGGTGCTAAAATTTGTCTGACAGGAATGTCGTGCAGAGGACAGAGAGACTGGATGAGAAGACTAATTAGAGTTCCTTCTGCTTTTCGGGAAACTCCATGGTGCTATGAAGAGTCTGGCTGGAGTGATTTTTTGGAGTCTTTTGGAAGGAGCATCGTTTTTTGGAATGTTCATTGTCTGTAGTTACATGCGTTTACTGTAAGGGAGTTTTCCATCTTGGCAGTGATTTAAGCCCGCGTGGCCCGCTGGAAAGAAAAGAGGTTGAGACAATGTGACTCAGGGGCTGTGGCCAACCCCACTCCCACCCCCACCCCCTGCCACTCCGCATACACACCTCTCTGCCCTTGAAGGTCCCAGCGCCTCCCTGACCCATGTGAGGAATGAGGAGTGGGTTTGTGTGACATGCGAGGCCGCCAAGGGCTGTTGTGGGACCATCCGTATCCCCTTCCCAGCCCACATGCAGTGTGTTTGCTAGCTTCTTCCTGAAGACGGACACGTTCCCCTTTCTGTTTACACCATGGACACTCAACAAATAGCAAACGTTGGTCGTCATAATAATCCATGGTTACCTCAAAAAACAATCAGCTCTTGAGTAAAACCAGCATTAGCGGGACGCCAAGCAACTGTCTCGGCTCAGGCGCCTCAGAGCAAGCTTACTATTTTGTAGCCAATGACCTTTCAGGGCGAGCTCGCTCCTGAGTGTTACTGGAGGAGGACCAACTGCTTTCCCAGAGTGCACAGAGGTGGCTTCCGACAGCTGTCTGCCCAACTGTTTGATGTCACCTCTCTATTTAGCCCATGGACTGGACCTGAGCAAAGAAAACAAAACAACAGCAAGTGCTGAACTGTACACATGGCGCGGCAATGGAAATGGCTTCTTTGCTTAGACTTTGGGAATGCTCTGCAGAGGCCAGGCTGCAGGCTGGCAAGGGAGGCTAAGCCAAGATCTGGGGTCACTGTTTCTAAATTAAGGACTTCAGAAGTTTGGATTAGTTTAGCATGTAAATTTCTCAGACCTTTCCGTCCTGGGTTCATTGGAGTCTGAGTCTGGGCTGCTGACAAGGGGGCAAGGCTAGTGAAGAGAGCGATGGATCCAAGAGAATGATCAATCATCTCAGATTTCTTCAGAGTGGGAAACCAAGATGCTCCAACATGGTGGTGTGGTGCAGTGCTAAGGGACCTGGGGTGTACCTGGAGAATATACCAATAAGTAAGAGGTGGCACCTCTTAGTTCCGGCTCTACTGTGGCCCAGGCATTTTGTCTCTAGGCTTAGTTGATCTGAGTTTGCCTGTGTGATGGGAGGGTCAGACTTCACTAGATGAGCCCTGAGGCCTTTGCTGGCCTCTGATTCTAAGAGCCCAGTAACCTTTGCAAGATTAAACAGAAGCCAGAAACTATCTGTGAGTCCTTGACTTCATCCACAAATAGGTCTTGTAACCATTTTTTTTAATGTCCTCTGTGAATTTTATATAAATTTTGCCCCTCCCTAAATCTTCTCCATGTTTCCTGGACTATTTGTACACCAAAGAGGGTTGGGGAGACGGGACAGGTTCACGATTCTACTCACTGGAGCAGAGGGAGCTTGACAAGCTGGGACAATTACTCAAACTTTTAAACTCCGAGTCCAGCTCTTGTCTGTCACTGTCATTGATAACAAAAGCAGATATACATTGAATACTCAGAATAAGTGAGGAACTTATTGTGTCAGGAACTTGGTTAAAAATAACCAAGGCTCACACCGTCATCACAGAGGTAAATTTTAGATAACAAGGTGAAACGCACAGCACAGGGAGTAGCATTTTGCAGATTTCAGTGGATGCTCTGGGAATGGGGAGACCCCTCATTGGAGTCTTTTTTTTTTTTTGGAGGAAGATTAGCCCTGAGCTAACATCTGCTGCCAATCCTCCTCCTTTTGCTGAGGAAGACTGGCCCTGAGCTAACATCCGTGCCCATCTTCCTCTACTTTATATGTGGGACACCTACCACAGCATGGCTTGCCAAGCAGTGCCATGTCCGCACCTGGGATCTGAACTGGCAGACCCCAGGCGGCTGCAGTGGAACGCCTGCACTTAACCACTGCACCATCGGGCCGGCCCCTCCCTGACTGGAGTCTTGAAGGAAGAGGCCTCAGCGCTGTGAAGAAGAACTGGGAGGTACCCCAAGCCAGAAGACATATGAGCAAGGGCACACGAGTGCCATGTTGGGAGACAAGGAACAGATGAGCCTCTGAAAGACAGGACCAATGAAAGCAAGTAGACAGTGGATTCAGCTGGAAGCAGGTTTTGAGGTTTTGGCAGACACTGCTAATTGCCTATCCCAATATCTTGTTGTCTCTTCCTCCTTAGTAACCTAACGCTGAGTTTTAGCTGAGCTTCCTGCTGCTCAGAATTAAGATTACAATTTCCAACCTACTTTGCAGTTAAGTGTGACATGTGGGTGAGTTCTGGCCAAAGAAATATAAGCAGAAATGTTCTGGGGGACTCTGGGAAGGTGCATGTTTATATTCCCCCTTTCTTCCAGATACTTGGAATGCAAATGGGATGGCTGGAGCTCTAGCAGCCATCTTAGACCAGGAAGCGACTTGAGAATGGGTATCATGTGTTAAAGGTTGTAGAAAAGAAAAGGAGGAGATTGGGTCATTAATAATGCTGGAAGCTGCATACTAGCTTGAGACTGTTTATCTTTAGACTTGTTTCACATGAGAGAGAATTTTAAGGCACAGCTCTTTAGTATTTTTCTGTTGTATGTACATCCTATCTAAAGTAGAACCAGATTGCGGTAGGTGTAGGATTCCAGAACAAATTGTCTAGATTTAATCCCTTAGAAGCCAGGATACCCTATAGCTTTTTAATCAATCTATCAGTTATATTTGGGGCATCTACTCTTCATCAGACCCTGTGCTAAGTTCTGAATAGATGTTAAGTTGATTTTCTGAAGACTGCAATACAGAGATGCTTTTGTGGTTCATCTAAATTAAAGTAGAGCTTCCTCTCTACTAAGATATTCATTTTACTTTGGCTCATCACGTACCATTAGAAAAATATACTTGATTATACATTCACTTCCCAAAAGCACCTAAAATATGTCAAATTCATGAGAGTGTTTGGCTGAGGCAGGGAGGCTGGCATCTTTTAAGGGGAACTTAATATCTTTAACATTTGCTTAAAAATTAAACTGGGAGCAAATATAACAACTCCTTTCACATTCCCTCCAACACACACGCTCTAAGTGCTGAGTCCAAAGTGGGGCTGTTGCCCCAAAGCCGATTTCCTAATGAGCTTTCAGGAGACGCTGATGCAGCTGGTCCACAGAGCACACTTTTTGTAGCAAGGGACCAGGAAAGTCACCTGTCCCAGGAAGTGCTTTTATCCAGCTTCTCATGAACACTGTGCGAGCAGGGCTGACAGCTGAGGCACAATAGGGAAACCATTGGTGACCATTTAATGGCTGTGCTGTTCCAATGCTCAGAATGGGGCCCATTCGGGATGGCAATCCCATTATATTCCTAAGCACTCTCTTTGTAGTAGCAATTTCTAATAAAGATCATGATGAAGATGATGTTAATGACATTAAGAATAATAATGGTGGGGCCGGCCTGGTGGCACAGCGGTTAAGTGCACACGTTCCACTTCTCAGCAGCCCAGGGTTCGCCAGTTCGGACCCCAGGTACAGACCTATGCACCGCTTGGCACGCCATGCTGTGGTAGGTGTCCCACATATAAAGTAGAGGAAGCTGGGCATGGATGTTAGCTCAGGGCCAGTCTTCCTCAGCAAAAACAGGAGGATTGGCAGTGGATGTTAGCTCAGGGCCAATATTCCTCAAAAAAAAAAAAAGAAGAAGAAGAATGGTAGCTAACCTTTTTTTTTGAGTATTTACCATGTGGCAGATATCAGGAAAAGTATATTACTTGTATGATTTAATTTAATGCTAACAATAACTCTGTGCACTAGGTACTATTGTAACCTCCACATTTCACATGAGGATGCTGAGACTTGAGAAGGTAAGTAACTTCCCAAGGTCACACAGCAGGTTCACAATAGCAAAGGCAAATATTTCCTTCCTGCTTTAAGAAGGTTAGTGAGTTCTCTCTATCGCCCCAGAGGGGTGCAAGCTGAGTCAGGGTCCTGAGCAGAGATTTGGGGGCTAATGGGAGGCTTTATCTGGCTATTTCAGAAAGCAGAACATCAATTTTGACTCCCTGGGTGTTGAGAACGTTTGAACAGTGCCCTCCAAGCGTACTATGCGCAGTGACGTTCTTTTTGAATATATCACAGGGGGAGAGTTAAAATATGAGAAATGTATGTAAAATTCTCTTTGAAGAGCAAATGGAAAGCCCCTGTTTATAAATGTATCTCCTTTCTTAAAGATTCAGACCGAGTGCCTTTGGGATATGGAGATAAAAGCTTTCCTCTTGAACCAGGCATGTGTCACAGCGACTGTAGGGAACAGTGACTCAGCAGGAGGATTCCACAAAAGACGACAGGAACTGAACTATTTCCAGATGTCTTCAGCTCTCGGAGCTGGGAGGACTGTGGGAGGCTGAGGTGTCCCCCCCGTTCCTCAGCAGAGGCTGGGCAGCCATCTTCTGTTCCCTTTGAGTTCCAGCAACTGCTGCCTCATGGAGCAGGCTGCTCATTTGTCAGCTCTAGTTATTAGGACGTCTCTGTCCATATTAACCCCAAATCTACCTCTCTGTGACCCCCGTTGCCCTCCCCTGAGCCTTATCCTGCCCTTAAGAGCTGCTCAGACTCTGTCTAGGCCCTCTTCCTCATGACACGAACGTATGACCCTGTTTCCAAGCTGCAGCTCTGACGTTGCCTATCTCAGATCAAAAGATAAAACTCTGTGTGTGTGTGTGTGTGTGTGTGTGTGTGTGGTGTTGGGGGAAGGAAGGAGAAAAGACGAAGTCAGATCACAGCTCAAGGGCTAGCTGGTTAACCCTGGTGCCTGACCACACACGTGCGAGCCCACCTTTGCTGGCGGCTCGCCGGGCTTGTCCATCTGAAAGGTGGTTCTGCCCAGTGATCTCTAGCCTGGAGCGTCCAACTGCTCTTTCTGTTGCCTGTGAGTTACCTCATGAGGGAGGATGAGAGGGACGCCTGGGATGGGCAGGTGCCTTCGAGTTTATCTCAGCCTTGGAGCCCGCAGAGGCTGGGCATCCAGACGATCTATCATTCCAGAAAGCATCCCTATGCCCACACACCGCCCTCACCCCCAACACACGGGCCCGCAGCTCTGAATCAAAGGCAGGGCCGCTGCCCCGCAGCTGATGAGGGGCAACTCAGGGGCTTCTTAAGAACCCGAGAGACCGCACGTCACCACAGTCCCTGTGACGGTATCCACCGTTGACGGGACACCCAGAGGGAGCCCTGGAGTCTGGAGCAGGCAGCTCAGAGTGGGAGCCAGCAGTGTGCGTAGGAGAAAGGGTTCTGGTGTCAGCGCGGCAGCTTATTAGCAACTTTCCTTACCTCCTCTGACGCCCAGTGTCTGCATCTGCCAGATTTGGGTGTGAATCTGTGCCTTACCAGCCTTAGCACCTGACGCGTACTCAGTAGCTCTCCACTTCCTTTCTTTCTTGGCTCAAACTTTGAATATTGAGGTAGGAAACCACTTAGTGAATAATGTTTCCTTGAGATTTCCCTTGTGGTTCATTAGAAGCAAAAGAAGGAGAGAGAGAGAAAGAGAGAATATCAAAGGCAGCTGAGATTGGTAGGCTGAGCCCTGGCCTCAGAGAGTCGGGACCCCTGGACTTCTAGCCCCGGCTTCTGCAGCTAACTGGCTGTGTGACCTTGGGGAAGTCACTCTACCTCTCTGGGTGGGCCTCGATTTCCTCATTTCTGAAATGAACACCATAAACTGAAGTAATTTCTAGTGTATTATACTACACAAAAATGCTGATCCTTGTTCTCACTACATACCTTTCACATGCCGGGAACAAATCCCTGAAGTCCCTGTCCTCAAGGTATCTGTGTCCTGGGTAGGGAGACAGACAATAAATAGACAAATCCATGGTGAAGGTCAGATGGTGACGAGCACCACGAGGGAAATAAACCAGGGCAATGCGACGGAGACGGACGGACGGGGCTGGTGGGCGCCGGCTTACCCATGGTGGGAAGAAGTGCTGTTTGAGCAGAGAGCTTCATGACAGGAGGAAGGGAGCCCAGGGACGATTTGGAGGAAGAATGTTCCAGGTGGAGGCCACAGCAGGTCTGAAGCTTGGAGCTCCCAGCAAGAAGGCCCAGGGATTGGAACCCACTCAGTGGGGGATGGGGAGCCGGGAGCTGGGAGAAGGGGGCCGATGGAGGAGACTGAATTCCTTCCTAGGGTGAGGGCTTTCGTTTTATTCCAGCTCTTAGAGCTGTAGGTCAGTCCCTGTGTAACAGATAAAAACTGCTT